ATCATGAGGAAGGTGAGTGATCAGCCCAGAACTACACGGCAGGACCTGGTCAATGACCTGAAGAGAGCTGGGACCACAGTCTCAAAGAAAACCATTAGTAACACACTACGCCGTCATGGATTAAAATCCTGCAGTGCACGCAAGGTCCCCCTGCTCAAGCCAGCGCATGTCCAGGCCCGTCTGAAGTTTGCCAATGACCATCTGGATGATCCAGAGGAGGAATGGGAGAAGGTCATGTGGTCTGATGAGACAAAAATAGAGGTTTTTGGTCTAAACTCCACTCGCCGTGTTTGGAGGAAGAAGGATGAGTACAACCCCAAGAACACCATCCCAACCGTGAAGCATGGAGGTGGAAACATCATTCTTTGGGGATGCTTTTCTGCAAAGGGTACAGGATGACTGCACCGTATTGAGGGGAGGATGGATGGGGCCATGTATCGCGAGATCTTGGCCAACAACCTCCTTCCCTCAGTAAGAGCACTGAAGATGGGTCGTGGCTGGGTCTTCCAGCATGACAACGACCCGAAACACACAGCCAGGGCAACTAAGGAGTGGCTCCGTAAGAAGCATCTCAAGGTCCTGGAGTGGCCTAGCCAGTCTCCAGACCTGAACCCAATTGAAAATCTTTGGAGGGAGCTGAAAGTCCGTATTGCCCAGCGACAGCCCCGAAACCTGAAGGATCTGGAGAAGGTCTGTCTGGAGGAGTGGGCCAAAATCCCTGCTGCAGTGTGTGCAAACCTGGTCAAGACCCACAGGAAACATATGATCTCTGTAATTGCAAACAAAGGTTCCTGTACCAAATATTAAGTTCTGCTTTTCTGATGTATCAAATACTTATGTCATACAATAAAATGCAAATGAATTACTTAAAAATCATACAATGTGATTTTCTGGATTTTTGTTTTAGATTCCGTCTCTCACAGTTGAAGTGTACCTATGATAACAATTACAGACCTCTACATGCAATTACAGACCTCTACATGCTTTGTAAGTAGGAAAACCTGAAAAATTGGCAGTGTATCAAATACTTGTTCTCCCCACTGTATATGAAAACATGTCAAACCACTTGACGAATATTCTAAGAACATTACCAAAAACGTAAGGAAAATAAAAGGAAACGTTCTGTTAAAGTAATGAAACACCATGAAAATAACGTTTTTGTCAAGTTCCTTAAATGTGCTGAGACCTTTGGTTCTCTCTGTACACAAAGAACAACATGTTCAAATGTCTATTAGAAAATCTGAAATCTCTTTTTCAAAAATGTAATTTCATAACCATATCAAGCCTCTTGATTTTTGTGGTTGTCATGGTTAGGCAGCATAAAGTGCTCAATTTATCCAAACAAATTGATTCAGGAAGCAAATGGTAAAATGAGACCATTATATGTGCATAATTACATTTATTATACTATAATTTCAGAACAGGAATGAAGGAGTAAAGGAGGAGGGGAATGGTGACAATGCTTCAGGACATAATTAGGATTACACACAGTTCACAACTTTCATGTCATTTAAACAAACTAGCAAAGTTATTTTCCTAAAGTGCTGGATTCTTTTTTTATAATAAATGTAATACTGCAGCTACACTACTGACTGCTAGTCACTGTGTCTGAATGAAATGTAAAACTGGGGTTGTCAGTCTTCAATAAAGTAATGAAACAATATTGTGTCAAAATGACATGTTGGGGAGGATGACAATTCAGATTAAAAACAGAACTACATGAAACATACACATACATTTCTTCCATACTCTTAATTCAAGTGAGAAACAAAAGAAACCTTTAACATAGTTACATTCTGAAACAATACCGATTTAACAAACAGAAGACATTGAAATGAATTGCTACAAGTGTGATGTATGATTTCAGATTTATTTTATTCAAAGTTCGACATAATTTCGAACCAGCAATTCTTATTATATTAAATGCTAACAAAAACTAGAAAACAATGTTTCAAAAAGTATAGAAATATAAAAATGTGTGGTATAACAACTGTTTAAATTAACATCAAAATACTGAGTGAAAAAAAGAAAATGGCAACAAAAGAAATGCAAGGATAAAATTGAATGCCAATTTCCTGAGAAGGTTTTGTTGTACTGTACTAATAGCTGTCAACACTGAAGAAAAATGGAATGTCTAAGTGCGACTATTTTTCAAATTAATATCATAAAGTATTGCTTGCATTGCATTTACCACTCGATTACACTACCCAACACAAAATAAATCGTCAATTTCTTTTTTTATGTAGGCATCCTCGGAATTGTTTTCAAGCAATTGAAAATCCACAAAAATTAAAGTGGCTTCAATAAGATTGATTTAGTGAGTTAGGTTAGTGAGTGAGAGTAGATTTAAAAAATATATTTAAATGGGTTTCTATGGGACGACACATTGATTCACAGACTTCAACACAAACACCCCGCACACCGAATGCAGTTTCCATATTGAAAACTGCATGCACAAGACATAAGGGGACACACTTTCTTCAAGACACCCCACACTTGATGATGGGCAGGGCCGGTTTCCTAGACATAGATTCAGCCTCGTCCTGGAATAAAAACCTCTTTCAAATGAGAATATCCATTGAGACTGAGAATGCTTTTTAGTCCTGGACTAGGCTTAATCTGGCCCTTACTTTTAGTCTTGTCTCACTTTCTATGTAATCTAGCATTAATATGTACATCATTCCATTCAAACATGTATAATGTCACTGAAAAGACACTGTGAAATTAGAGTTGATTGTCTACGCCAGCATTGCATTTCATAATAACCTCCAGTAACATAAATAGCCTACACACTGTGGTATTTGTGCATTTGCCCGACTGTGTAATACGAGGTTATCCTCTTACTGTAGATAAGATGATTTCATCCATCTAGTGCAATATATACATTTTTCATAAATCCCTTTAAATTTTCTTGACTTCTTATTCACATCTCTCCTCCCATTAACTGAAATGTGAAAATATCCAAGCACTGCCAATTTAAAAGAATCCCCTTTCGGGGGATCATACTGTATTAACCTTTGGCTAGAAGGAGCAAAGGTAGTATTGCACACTATAGCAATTAGTGCGTGACATGCAATGCCAGGTTTACGTAGCAATAGCCAGCCATCATTCCTATGATGTATTTGTTGTACTTTGGTCATAAAACCATTAGTGCATATTCTGTTAATATTTTGTTAATTGTGTACAGCTGTGTTATAATCCACGTTTCTGATGACAAGCAGGCTCCTCTTATGCACATGGTGTTTTGCTGTGTCAGAGGCATGCATTGACCTTGCATACTGAACTTGCATGCTTCCCTAAAATCTGTTAGAGTTTAAACATTTGACATAAAGTGAATAGCTCAATTGATAGCGACAGAATCACACATTAGATTACTACAAGTCCATTTTTTTGTCTCCTCGGCTATAGAAGGTTGTAGCTCAGCCTCAATGTCATAGAGACAAACCAAATATATCCCCATATGCATCCGAGTCACGTCTTTCCCGTGTATTTTACAGCTTTTTCTAGCATAAAGCATCATGGACTAAAGCACCATTATAGATCGCTTTATATAATTGGGTCAGTTTTATTTTCTTCAAAATGCTTTTTGCCATTTTCTTTAACAAAAGGTATGGCATACCCTCACCTACCCCCTCAATTCGAGCCGTGGTTTTGACTTAACACACCAAGCCCTTCACTGACACACATGGAGGTATTTAAAGAGTGCATGATGGGTGGAGGAACTGGCCGAGAAAATCTATGGATAGCATCCTATAATTTTGTCTGTCAAACAGGTAGGCCTACCTCATTTCTTAAATAGGAAGAAATAGGCTCCATCACAAAGCCCTCTTGTTAGTAAAGTCAAATTAAAATTAAGACTGTTGAAATGAATTAGGCCTACTCAAAATAGCCTGCATTAGCCTACTTTCAGCAGCATACAAATAGTTTTAATTAAAATGAAAGTAGCAAGCTATCAAAGTTAACCTCCGGTCTTCCTAATCTTCACGCTCTCCCTCTCAAACCGAACAGGACAGCAGTAGTCTGCGTGCACCAGTGTTTTTTTTTTTTTAACTAATCAAAAATTATTTTCAGAAGAAGCCTTTGACTCGCCTCCTGAACTGCCACCTTGCACAGCACAGCCATTGGTTAGACAGCACACAAAGGTTTCGATCAGCAAGAGCAGAGCAGGGTTCTTGATTGGAATATCCATTGCAGTGTATCCTAGTTTTATTTACACCATCAGAGCAGCACAAAACACTCAGGAAATTAATTTCCTTACAAATAGAACTTTGCTCTGTGCTTCTCCAAGCATGCATTTCATATAGCCTAGGCCTATAAACTATGGATAATTTGATTGAGATTATATAATCGTTATATAATAAGCATCTAATTCTAAAACAGATGAAATATCATTTAATCAATTACAAATTACAGGACACCAAAAAAATATTCTAAACCCTCCCTGCGACTGAAATTTAAAAAGCATAGTCCGAGTCCCTCCCCCATTTTTCTCCATGTCCCTGTTCCGTAAATCTCTAACTGTCCCTTATTACCCTAGAGAATCTGGATCAAGGGTGGTCTACTGTATTGTGTTATATAAGTGGGTTACGATATGGTATAGCAGGATAATATACCCTGTCTGAATGACAATAACACTGCCCACCTGAAAATGCATCTGCTGGCTAATTATTTAAGTCCTTTCTCTTACAGGAATATCGCGTTTGCATTTTGCAACCTCATATGCAACACAGTCAAAATGATATCTCATTCAACGCGCACACATCTTGTAAAACATAACCCTTTACCTTAACAATGTCCCTTTTAAAACTGCATTTTAAAACGGTTTCGCAGGAAAAAAAAGTAACATGGCGGTGGGACATTAGCATAGATTCCCTTGAAAAGCAGCCCTGCAGTAGAGTCAAAGCGAGCTGTCTGGCTCTGTGTAGTCTTCTCCAGTCCTCCAGGGGTCCTGCCTGTGTCTGTTTCAACTTAGTTAACATCCACCTCCGACCCTTATCTGTTCAGGCCGTCTCCTTGTCCACCTTCCACAGCTGCTCCTTCACCTCGGTGGGCAGGGTGTTGAAAAGGTCCTCCTCTACCACCAGGCCGCTCCTCTTCAGCTGCCTGCACTCCCCCAGCTCCACGGGCAGACACTCCAGCCTGTTCCCCCTCAGCTCCAGCTGGGTCAGCCCCGTCAGCTCCCCGAAGCGCGACGGCAGAGATGTCAGGCAGTTGTTCCCCAGATTCAGAGTACGGAGCTTCTTACACTGGAACAGCTCGTTGGGCAGGGTCTCGATCTAAATGGGGTAAGAGGTAGAAAAAAGGGAGAAGTAGGATAGAGAGATAGTATCAGGTGGATATGTGACACAAACACTACAATGTGTAAAACTGTCATTATCAGACAAAACACCAGGTATTAAACCTCCTAGTCATAACAGACTAAGAAAACATAAACAAATAAATGAAACACAAATCACAGTGTTAATGCGATTTGATTCACAGTTCTCAGATAAGTAAACACATTCCTCAGAAATAATTCATCCAGAATAAATTGTATTTAAAACCCTCAGAAATGTTTAGTCCAACAAACCAAAGCTGAAAACGAAAGAACTCACTCTGTTGGCTGTGACTGCCAGGTACTGGAGGTTCTGCAGGTACCCCACGTCTGCTGGGATGTAGGTGAGGTTGTTGTGGCTCAGGTCCAGGAAGCGTAGCTTACGACAGTAGAAAAGCTGACTGGGGATCTTATCGATCTTGTTCCTGTTCAGATAGAGCCTCTCCATGTTGTTGAGGGTGCCGATCTGGATGGGAATGTAGGCAATCTGGTTGTACCAGAGTTTAAGGCAGACTAGACGGTGCAGGTGCTGGAAGCTGATGATCTCCTCGATGGTCTTCAGGTTGTTGTCCTTCAATGATGACAATAATAATACATTTTATTCATACTTTTCAAAACATCCAGGGCCAGTTTCCCAGACACAGATTAAGCTTAGTCCTAGACTAAAAAACAATTCCAAATGAGAATCTCCATTGAGCATGTTTTTTAGACCAGGACTAGACTTAGTGTCCGGGAAACCAAAGTCACTTTACATAATAAAATCAGCAAGATGAATAAAAACAAGACAATCGCATAATAAAATGTGTGAGAACATGTAAAAGTACACTGAACGTAACAAACAGCAATGACAAACTTACCTTGAGGTCAATCTCCTGCAGGTTGTGCAGGCTGAAGATGGAGTGTGGGATGCGCTCAAGATCACAGCGTATCAGCTCTAGTTCAGTCAGGTTCACCATCTTCTTCAGGCTGTTGAGAACAATCAGCTTGGTGCCCTCGTTGTTAACAGACAGCTTCTGGAGGTGCACCCCCACGTCCGTCACCACCTGAGGTAGCTTGGTCAAGTTGCTCTTCAGCCGGAGGACCTTAATAATAAATGCATTTAATTATAGCATTAGAGAAAACTCAAAGCTCTACATACATAAGGTGAAAGAAATACAAGGCAGTTAAAATAACAATAGTAGGTGCTAAAAAAGGCCTCACGGATAAGGACTATCGATGAGTGTGCTAGTCTGTGAAAGTGCATTTTACCTTGAGCCTCTTCAGCTCCCGTAGCCCATCAATAACAATATATCGGTTGTTCTCTGCACTCAGGTTCCCCGTCAGGTGTAGCTCGCTCAGGTTCTTCAAACTATAGATCCACAGAGGGATCTCCTTGATGTCCGTGAACTTGATGTGGAGGGACTTAAGGTTCTCCCTGAGGAAGGCCAGGGCCGGAGCCTCGATCTTAGCCGGGGTGTGGTACAGCCACATCTCCTTCAGGTTGACCAGCTGGGCGATGATGGGAGGGATGGTGATGTCTGGGATAAGCTCCAGCTTCAGCACCTAGAATAATATCAATAATAACAAAAGTAATACATTTGGGCTGAAAGGCCGATACCTAAGCCCAATAAACTGAAGTGACACAGACAAGAGCACTGTGCGAGTTTCTCTCTTCTTTTAAGATATCATCTAATTATTCCCACACACCTGCAACAAGCCGACTCAGATGTGAAAGTGCTTTTCCTAAATTGTACAACAAATCACAAAGTTGCTACAGTGTGGGCATTAAAAAAAAATTGACAAAACAAAGGCACAGACAAAAAGGAACAACAAAGGCACAGACAACAAGGAACAACAAAGGCACAGACAACAAGGAACACAGGTAATTCTACACAAACTACCTCCAGCTCTATCAGATCAAACACTGTGTCTGGGATGCCGCTCAGCATGAACAGGTGCAGCTCCAGCTTCTCCTGGGAGTTAGTGGTGATCCTCTGCCTCAGTTTGTCCAGAGTCCACTCGTTGTTCAGGTTGAGCTGCCGCAGCTTGTTCTCGCTCACTTCAGACAGGAAGACGGCAAAGCGTTTGGAGTACAGCGGATCGTACTGGTCGATCATGTGCAGCATGAAAGCAAAGTCGTTCTTTACGTCCGGTATGTCGCTGTAACTGCTCTCCTCTCGTATCGACTCGAAGGAGTATTTCTTCAGCGAGCGCCGTAGCATCCAACAGAGGGTATACATGCAAATTAAGCCGTAAACCCCCACTAAGCTGATGTAGACACAGGCTAGGATTTTAAACAGCGTGGCCAGAGGATGAGCACAATGATACATGCTGTACCCCGTGAGGCTCTCTATATCCACACTACAGTCCACGCTGAACTGAATATTGTGCACATAATACCCTGTATAGCAGATAATCAAAATGAACTTAATGACTTTGATAATAGTCTGTCGGATGTAGAGCCTGTACACAATGTCTCCCTCTTCCACGTGTATGCGGAACTTCTTCACTTTTTCGAACAAGGCCTTTGCCTGTTCACCTTCTTTCTTATCCAGGACCCCTGTCTCAGTGCGATCCACAATACCCTGCTCCAGGCGAGACTTTGTCCTTTGGAGCATGGGGACGCTAGCCTCCACATCCTCGCTGATACACGACACCTTCTTATCCATTGAGCCATTCATCTTCATCGGCTTAGGGTCGCTCTCCTCCACCACCGTCTCAGACAGAGCCCTGGTGGTCCAGGGAGAGTCAAAACACTTCAGGAGAATCGACACAAAGTGCTCCAGTTTGGAGCTAGTCCGGGGGAACTTGAACCAGAAGTTACTGCAAGCCAGGAAGATGAGGGTGTGGAGTAGCACCAGGTAGGGGAAGTACTTGGCGAACCAGTGCAGGCGGTTCTCGTAGCAGACGGAGTCTACATAGTTGTACTGGTGGCGATCCAGGTTGTATTGGATCCCTTTGGGCTCCAACAACAGCGGGGCCGACAGGGTGGCGTTGAAATACCTCCTGCAGGTCTGGTTGACCACCCACTTGCAGGGCAGGCAGATCATCTTGTCCTGGGTGACCTGTAGAGTGAAACGAGAGCATTTTAGATACATCGAAAATAATAAAGTAAGCATGTCATTGTACGGTGTACACTACGCTGTATCCTGTGCATATAACAATACAATTGAATTAGAATTGTAACAGGAGCTAGACAAAAAGAAGATCAAGTACATAGAAAAAAAGGGAATGTCCGCTCACTGACCTGCAGCGTTCCCCCGAACACGGCGATCATGAGCATGACTATGGAGATGTAGTCAGTGAAGACGTCCCACCATGGCTTCAGGATACGGTAGGCCGGCTGACAGTCTACAAAGTAACGCAGCTCAGTGATGGGGATCATGGTTTACCTGGGAAGAGGAGAGTAGTATGACATACAGCAGTGTTTGAAAATGCGCACTTGCGTTCACCCGTTCTTTCAACGGTGAACTTCCAAGAACACCTGAGAGAGCATACTGTCTAGTATGGAGAATGCCCAGTGCTTAAAATCCGTTAACATTTAAAACGTACTTCGACGGGACTAACCTAAACAGGAAACCGCATCATCACGCAGCCAGCTAGCTACATTTGTTTACACAGAATCTTTCTCCTCAGTACTTGTTAGTGAATTAAGCTAACACCAACCAGAATAATAATTTTATGTGGGGTCCTCCTCTCACACATTGCTTGGTCTGCTGCTACATCGTTGTGGACGTATGACAGGTAACTATAATTTAAAATAAGCTATTTTGCTTACTGTTTAAGAATGATAAATAGGCAGAATATTTGTGTTTCACTGTGAATCTAACATTGCATTAGTTCTGCTGGTGTTTTATTTCTAATGAGCAGGCTTTCAGTGCTAAATTCATAACATCCATGCATATGATGTTCAAGACAGCTTGGTTTTATATTCACCTTATGCATTAATAACTAATATTGATTGGAGTGATGATGCAATATAACTAGATTAGAAGGCCTAGGCTACTTCATCCTAATGTAAACTACGTGTAAATGCATTGGATACAAAACAAACACATTATAAAGGAGAACGTGTCCAATTTAATTATATGCATGCATATCAAACAGGAATTACATTAAATAATTACACCATTGTAATATTATGAATGCATTTCTCTCTCCTTGCAAGGAATTAGACAGATTAACTGCAGCCCCCAGATACCCAAGCCTCAAAACCAGAACCGTGGGGAGACATCAACGCTTGTCATTTTTTATAAATATGATCACTTTTATTTGTTTTCCTGTATCTGTGCATGAATCCTTAGAACACAGTCCATTGTACAAGAGAAGTCATCCCCAAGTGAGGGACATCTCAAGGAGATGAACCTCCAACATTTAAAAGCTTGTTCAGTACATGAGGGCAAATTTTGTCATGACAGCCAATTATTATTATTTATTATTATTTTGTTACACAGGACAGGAGTTTAGAGGTTTTTGTTCCAGCCCTTCACTAACACCTCAATCAACTAATTCTCGTTTAACTTCTAGACCACGAATAGTTGAATAAGGTGTTTGTGCAGGGCAGGAATAAAAACTTGAACACAGTGAAGTACACCTGGGACAGAATTCACTGTATTTTAGAATGAGCTTCATAAGTTACATGATAGCGAATAAAATGTGTGGATCTACTGTGATCTAATGTAGTGATGTTGCACACTGCTGAAATTAACTCCAGGGATAGTGTGATTTTACGGCAGGTTTCCAAGGTCTTTACATGTGTCTGGGTGTTAGGGTGGGATGTGCTTCAACCTGAGGAGAACAGAGCAGAAACATAAGGGTGGAGAAATTAACCTTACTGCTCAAATTTCAGTGCTGGGGTGTATTAATTCTGCCGATTCTGTTGCAAAACGTTTCTTAAATGGAAGCAAACGGAACAAAACGGGGCGGAACCTACCCGAATTTGTCCAATAGAAACTCTCGTTTTAGTTTGGACTCATGATCACACCCCTAGTTCAAGTTGCTTAGAAACACAACTACCTTTACTAATGTGCAATGGTTTTGTAAACAGTTTTGCATATTCATAGGCTTGATCAAGTTGTCACCGATTTACTTTTAGTTGATCATTTCATAATTCAACAAATGTTCTTTATATGCAAATGGTGCAACACAAGAGGGGAGGGGAAAATGACAAGAAGAAAGTCAGCTAATGTTAGGTAAACAGACACTACATGCATGTATTGAACGATCATGAAAGAATGCAAAAATAACTTGGCTGGCTAGCAAGCCTAGATGAATCAGTTGTTGTTCACAACTTTTGTCCTGCCAAGCCAATGCCATTGGGTGAAAAGAAAGCATAAGTTGCCATCTGTCCCTGAAAACAAATGGCCAAAAAACAATTTGCTACATTTGTCATTAGCTGGCTAGCAAGTATACCAATTCAGGATTTAAAAAAACTGTCTGGATCTTGACATTTGACACATTGCTGACTTTACGATTAGTTAGTTTAGTTGCTCATCTCTAAACAGCTGATAAGCAGGACGAGCAGTGATGCCAACTTAGCAATTTTGTTGCTAGATTTAGCAACTTTTCAGACTACCCTGCCAACTTTTTTTTCAAACAGTACCTAGCAACAAATGTAGCTACTTAAAAAAAAATATTTGGAACTTTTAGCAACTTTTGAAAAGTGACTCAAACGCTAAAATGTACGCATCTTCCCTCTAAATGACACAAAAACATTCTGTCACACACTCAGTCACAACACACGTGCCTGCTGCAAAAGTGCATTGAGAGTGACGTCAGCAGCAGGCGCTCAGCTCGTGCACAGGCAGCAGCAGGCCAGCCAAGCAGCACAACAACCTGTAGAGAGCTGGAGAGAGATGCCTAGCGCACACATCATTATTTGAGTTAAGTTGCTTGTTCAATAAGATAGCATTATTACCTTGTTATTAGCTTGTACCTATAATTGTTGATCAGTTAGGTAGCATGTTAACTAACTACCAATACACTGCTTAAAACTATAATTGTTCAGAATGCGTAGATTTACTAGTTAATAAGAAAATTAATAAAATAGAATTGTTCAATAATGTGTTATTTGTAATTGTTCAATAATTCAATGTGTTGTTTAAAAATAAAAATATCTGATCATATAAAATGTGTTGTGTTTATATTACTTTTACAAATAAAAATGTGATAATAATAAAAACAAATCTAAACTAACAAATGTTAAATCATATTTGTTGACCAGGTTTGGCCAGTCAATTTGAGTAACGTTATTGTGTATTCTACGTAATGACACAGTTTTATGTTATTACGTAATGACATCACAACGTCATTTAGCAACAAATCGACCTGTCTCTAGCCACTTCCCCTGAAAATTAGTTGGCAACACTGAGAAGATCACCTGCTAGCTACCTATGACGTCCGACGAGCTAACTATCTTGGCTAGCAGGCTGATAAACACCAGTGACGCAACATTTAAATTCAAAATTCATATGAAAGTAATTTGTTGAACATTTGTTGAATAAAAACGTAATACTTACATTTTACAAAGTTATTCCTTAATGCTCTGGAAATAGATTTTCGCTGCGTCGCAAGGTGTTATGGGATAGCCTCCCTGGTGAAGGGAACAAAAAAGTATGCTCCCACGCGTGCTTTGTTATCCAGACCTGCCAAGTACGCTTATGGAACTTCCGGTAAACTAAGTCCATACTTGCCTTTTCACATACTTACTTTTGGAATCGTACTTGAAAAATGACAGTTGACGTCCGTACTTGCTATACGCTCTAAATAGAACACAAGTATGAATTTTTAAACACAGCCTGTTTCATGATCTGTTCAAGTTCAAAGTTATCTTATGATCAAATTACAGAATATTAAGAAACTTTCTGAAATACTTGCCATTTATAATGGAGGGCTCCACCTCCAATACAATAACAAATATATGGAAAGCCCCTATTATGCCATAACAAATAATAATGGCATATGGAACATATAGATTAGCTACTGCAATGAATAACAGGCTACATTCTTTTAGCAATTTAACACTCAACTCAATGAAGACTACCATAGCATTCTATGTTGAATGAATGTGATGTGTACTAAATATCCTATAGTGGCAGCAGCATAAATCAATGGCATCATGTTAGGTCATCCATCAGAAAATACTAAATGGATCATTTGAAAGGTGTAGCAATGAAATGAAAAGACTGACAATCACGTGCATGTTCTGACACCTGAATCTCTGATGCATTACACTGGGGTTTGCTTTGCTATTGATTTCACCATTGTTAAACAGGTCCAATTAATCTAGCTCCCATAGGGCAGGTATTGGACAGCATCTTTATTACCCTGGCAAACACACACTATGTCTCAGAAGACCAAAGTCAGTTTAGCAGTAATCTAATTTATAAGCGGTTAGATTAGTCATTTAAGTGTGTGGTCCACCTTGTAAATCACTTCAATTATGAAGAAAGAAACACTGACACCTTGACCAAACTGACCCCGCGTGTGCCATTGTGCACATGTTGATTTTGTCTTTCCCCACCAGACGCATTCAAGACACGGAGGTTAAAATACCAAAACCAACTATATTAATTTGGGGAGAGGTCGAAAGACACATGAAACACTCATGGACATTTAGCTAGCTTGCTGTTGCTAGCTAATTTGTCCTGGGAGATAAACATTGGGTTGTTATTTTAACTGAAATGCATATGGTTCTTTTTTTTTTTGCTGGATCTTTGTAGAATTCTGACCCTATCTGAGTCACAAAATCATGTGTTGTCTACTCCGACAATTAATCCACAGATAAAAAGGGAAACCTAGTTAGTTTTTAGTTTGTTTTCTTTGATTAGTCTCTCCTCGTTCATATTTTATTCACCCACGTGGGTTAGTATGCTCGTGAAAACCAATGAGTAGATGGGAGAAGCGGGACTTGCAGCGCGTCAAGCATCTGAAATAGAACCAAGTTCTATTTTAGCGCCTGGCTATGGAGAAGCCTGCTGACGCGTGCGAGCAGTTTGGTTGAAATGATCGAATAACATGTATGAGTACATTTATTTTGTAGTCTAGCTAGTCTATCCTATATGCCCAGTATTCCATATTTTAAAATAACAAAACTTACAAAATCTGGAATAAATTACAGTAGAACATTAAGTCTCCATTTGTGAAAAGCGTACAAAATATGTCTTCTCTATTTAGGGCTAGGCCTAGAACTCAAAATCTTGAAAAGTTCCATAACAGACAGGCTGAGAAACCTCAGACATTTTACCATGTGCGCCCCCCACCCCTCCTCCCTCTGTCACTCACGTGCCACACCCTTCCAGAACATTATCTTCACAACCGTAACACTTCTATAGAGGAATCTTCCGTTTTGGCTCGTCTGGTCCAAACACAAACCAAAAGCACGACAACCACCTTGCTCTCTATTCTTAGTCGTTTCTGATAATAAAACCCAGGGCATTGTCTCCAGTGGCCTTGAGGAACGCTCCAACGACCTTCAGGAGGAGATCCTGTTTACCTTAGAGGAGGAGGCAGCGCTGGCTGTCTCCAGCCCGTCTCACAGTAGGCCTAACACTGTCTCCTACCCTTGGCTGTCTCCCTGCTTGGAGAAACATTTGTCTGTACCCTGGCCCTCACCTAATGGCCCTTCTCCTCTCTGGATGGTCATTAGACTAGGCTATATTTTCAGGAACATGTTATTTAGTTGTTTAGAACCTGTTCCAAAATGACTGCTGCAACGTTGCCAATAAATAATAAAGTACATACAATGCTGTAGGATTGAAGAAACGTTTTTGGAACATATTCTAAAGAACAAATTCCTGAGAATGTAGGGTACCATCCCTGCCCCTCATCACTTGGCACTCATCTGTTCAGCGAGGAAGACAGACAGAACAGACTTCCTGTGGAGATGAGAAGTCTGATGCCTGCCTGGCCCCACCACAGACTTGCCCAGCACAGTCGGACCTCCCATATAAGTCTACTCCCACACACAACATCACCACAATTCAGCCCAATTCACCCTATTATGAGACCAGACATCCCATTAGAGTGCTGATAAAAAGCACTGAGTGGTAAGACTTCTTTCTACAGGGCCATTAGAACCTAAATTAATCAGCACTCGGTGAGGGACCCGTAGCCAAATATATGACTCAACTTCGTATTCTTGTGTAAAACAAAGTACACAAGCATTCTGATAAGAGTACAGAGAATAGAAAACCAAGTAAATAAATAAAGAATGTCTAGAGGACATCTCTGGGAGATTAGCCTGATTTATGTGAATTGTGCAGGTATCAAAACATCTGATGCTCTTACCACAGTGGTGGTAGTGCAGTGTTATCTGTACTCCAGTGCTTGGTGGATATCCCACTCGGTGTGTTCCCAGCAATCCTCATGAGCCCAGGTCTCTTTTATCTCCATAGGAATGGGTGGGTGGCTGATCTGAAAACAAAAGGAAAAGAGAAGTGAAGAATAATTAGGACTAGCAAGCAACTCTTTCATGATGTCTGGTCTTGTAGTACTGGGGTTAGCTACCGTATGCAAGTAAATTAATACCTATCAGACAAACTCACTAGCAAACAGACTTGCAATAATTATACTTGTGTATAACACGAATAGCTTAAGCTTACATAAATCGAACATCCCATTCCTTAATACTTTTTTAAAGCACTTGAAGGGTGACACTAACGTCACATGACATAGCTAACCGTAGTTTATTCAGTAGTCTGATGATGTTAGATGAAGTTTGCAAAATCGGACAAAAATGATACAAGTAACGTTATAGTCTCACAAAATTCTAAAGACAAATGCAATTTCTACGGTGAAATAATAGCTAGCTAGCCTTTGTCTTGTCATTAAATTAATGGCAAAGCTAGCTTAGCTAACATCACCATGCTAGCTGGCCAAGTCATGCCAGATAAAACCGGTCTTTCGCATTGTTCTATCTGTGGGTCTATTGTGCGCAGACCATTGTGAAGTTCAACTGCTAGCTAGCTATAATCGACTGACAATTAGCCAGTGTTTGACGTTATCATAATAATCATATTAGTGATAGCTTGCATCACATTAGTTAACTACTACTGCAGCTAAAATAGCTAAGATGGTTATCTAGTTGGATAACTTAGCTTTCTAACTGAGATTTGTCAGCATGTTAGCTAGCTAGCATAGCCAGCACACTAACGTTACATTGACCGGCATAAGTACAAACAACTCCAGAGAATTAAGGCCTGTGTTGACTATCGTTTTAGCTAACTAGAGTCTATTTACTAGAAAACTTACTCAGTTTAGCTCCCCCACAGGCTAACAGAAATACATTTTGGTGTGGGGGTAGCTTGTCTTCTGTTCATCTGTTGTCTTTAACAGAGCACTACAGCCTGCACCTATGCCAGTTTCCTATAGGTGGCACTAGTACGCTTTTTGTCGGTATATCACACCGTAGAAGAAGAAACATCTGCTTCTCTAGGAAATGCTCTATGATTATGTTTTGAGATGATCATAACCAGCGATACGGAGGAGGAATGGAGGGGAAAAGAGAGGCAGAGGAGGTCTAAGAGAGAGAGAGGAAGAGTGAAAATGTATGCACCCACTAACTGTAAGTCGCTCTGGATAAGAGCGTCTGCTAAATGACTAAAATGTAAATGTAAAGAGAGTGAGATTGAGTCGGGGGAAAATGGCGGGAAAAGGGAGATGGTTTGTTAAAGAAGAATGGTAGCAAGTATAAGCAGAGTGAGCTGAAGACAGGAGGAGAGAGGGATGGGAAAAAGTGTGGTAAAGGCAGAGCCTCGTAAATGGCGTCCCTTGAGAAAGCAAGAAACAGATGTATGTCAGGAGAAGTGCAGTATTATCATAAGGAGAAGTATACTTAGATGATGGAGGTGGAATGGAGGGAAAAAGAGAGGCAGAGGAGGTCTAAGCGAGAGAGGGAGGAAGAATGAGGGTGAAGTATCAGAGGTGGTAGGTGTGGTGAAGTACACGGAGCCTGAGGCACAGAGTGTCAGGATAAAGATGAGTCTGACAGTAGAGTAGGAGTGACGTTTTTGGAAAGAGTGGGCCCTTGCCTTTTGGCTGATCCATTTGTGGTTTCAGGTTGGGTGAAAAAAGCGTTGGGTATAGTGGAATCGGTGAGGGTAACCAGAAGTGGTCTAGTGATAATTGTTTGTGTTTCTGTTGGTCAGAGGGAGAAGGCGCTCAGAGTTAAACAAATGGGGGAAAGAATTGTGAATTGGTTCGCTCTCAAGAAAAGGGCGCCATTGAAAGGAGTGATTACTGTTTGTGATGCTTGTCGTTTGGTGAGACGCAAACAGGGTGGCGTGAGTGGTGAAACAGAATAGTTATTGTCTGTTCTTTTGAGTTTTGATGTTGAGTCTTTGCCCGACAAAGTGATGTTAGGATATATAAGTTATCCTGTAAGAGTTTTTGTGCCGAATACGTTACGTTGTTACAGGTTTCAAGCTTATGGGCATGTGGCAGTAGCGTGTAGGAGGGAGGTTCCTAGGTGTGAGAAGTGTGCATGAAGGGCATGAGACAAAGGAATGTGTAGCATTGGGGAAAGTAGTGGTATGTGTTAATTGTAGGGGTGCCCATGGGGCTGGGGATCAGAGATGTCCCATGCAAGAGAGGCAGGTTGAGGATTCCAGGTTTATAGTAGTGCAGAAGTTGTCATATGATGAGGCAGTGAAGAAAGTAGAGGAAGATGGGTCAAGGGGGAGGGATACTGAGAAGAGTGGTGTGAGTAGTAGATCTGTACCAGTACAGAGGGATAGGCCAATAAGTGATATATGTTTCAGTAAGATTGGATTTTTAGCATTTATAGCAATGGTTATCAACTGTACTGCAGGGATGGAACGTAAGTGGCAGAAAATTGAGGTTGTGGTGGCAGCTGCAGAGAGGTATTTGAGTGTGCGAGACTTGACATCAGAAGAGTTCCACGGTGTGTTAAGTGGTGGTGTCCCATCCTTTCAGGTTGTTGGCCTGAGGTAGGACTAAATATATTTAAATAGTGGAGTAGGGTGGTGTTATTTTATTAATATTATTATTATTCTATTTTTTTGTGAGTGTAGTGTTAGATGGTAGGGTGTATATATATATATATATATACAGTGAGGAAAAAAGTATTTGATCCCCTGCTGATTTTGTACGTTTGCCCACTGACAAAGAAATGATCAGTCTATAATTTTAATGGTAGGTTTATTTGAACAGTGAGAGACAGAATAACAACAAAAAAATCCAGAAAAACGCATGTCAAAAATATTATAAATTGTTTTGCATTTTAATGAGGGAAATAAGTATTTGACCCCTCTGCAAAACATTACTTAGTACTTGGTGGCAAAACCCTTGTTGGCAATCACAGAGGTCAGACGTTTCTTGTAGTTGGCCACCAGGTTTGCACACATCTCAGGAGGTATTTTGTTCCACTGCTCTTTGCAGATCTTCTCCAAGTCATTAAAGGTTTCGAGGCTGACGTTTGGCAACTCAAACCTTCAGCTCCCTCCACATACTTTCTATGGGATTAAGGTCTGGAGACTGGCTAGGCCACTCCAGGACCTTAATGTGCTTCTTCTTGAGCCACTCCTTTGTTGCCTTGGCTGTGTGTTTTGGGTCATTGTCATGCTCGAATACCCATCCACGACCCATTTTCAATGCCCTGGCTGAGGGAAGGAGGCTCTCACCCAAGATTTGACGGTACATGGCCCTGTCCATCGTCCCTTTGATGCAGTGAAGTTGTCCTGTCCCCTTAGCAGAAAAACACCCCCAAAGCATAATGTTTCCACCTCCATGTTTGAAGGTGGGGATGGTGTTCTTGGGGTCATAGGCAGTATTCCTCCTCCTCCAAACACAGCGAGTTGAGTTGATGCCAAAGAGCTCGATTTTGTTCTCATCTGACCACAACACTTTCACCCAGTTCTCCTCTGAATCATTCAGATGTTCATTGGCAAACTTCAGACGGGCCTGTATATGTGCTCTCTTGAGCAGGGGGACCTTGCGAGCGCTGCAGGATTTCAGTCCTTCACAGCGTAGTGTGTTACCAATTGTTTTCTTGGTGACTATGGTCCCAGCTGCCTTGAGATCATTGACAAGATCTTCCCGTGTAGTTCTGGGCTGATTCCTCACCGTTCTCATGATCATTGCAACTCCACAAGGTGAGATCTTGCATGGAGCCCCAGGCCGAGGGAGATTGACAGTTCTTTTGTGTTTCTTCCATTTGCGAATAATCGCACCAACTGTTGTCACCTTCTCACCAAGCTGCTTGGCGATGGTCTTGTAACCCATTCCAGCCTTGTGTAGGTCTACAATCTTGTCCCTGACATCCTTGGAGAGCTCTTTGTTCTTGGCCATGGTGGAGAGTTTGGAATCTGATTGATTGATTGCTTCTGTGGACAGGTGTCTTTTATACAGGTAACAAGCTGAGATTAGGAGCACTCCCTTGTGTGCTCCTAATCTCAGCTCGTTACCTGTATAAAACACACCTGGGAGCCAGAAATCATTCTGATTGAGAGGGGGTCAAATACTTATTTCCCTCATTAAAATGAAATTCAATTTATAACATTTTTGACATGCGTTTTTCCTGATTTTTTTGTTGTTATTCTGTCTCTCACTGTTCAAATAAACCTACCATTAAAATTATAGACTCATTTCTTTGTCAGTGGGCAAACGTACAAAATCAGCAGGGGATCAAATACTTTTTTCCCTCACTGTATATATATACAGTGGGGGAAAAAAGTATTTAGTCAGCCACCAATTGTGCAAGTTCTCCCACTTAAAAAGATGAGAGAGGCCTGTAATTTTCGTCATAGGTACACGTCAACTATGACAGACAAAATGAGAAAAAAAAATCCTGAAAATCACATTGTAGGATTTTTAATGAATTTATTTGCAAATTATGGTGGAAAATAAGTATTTGGTCAATAACAAAAGTTTCTCAATACTTTGTTATATACCCTTTGTTGGCAATGACACAGGTCAAACGTTTTCTGTAAGTCTTCACAAGGTTTTCACACACTGTTGCTGGTATTTTGGCCCATTCCTCCATGCAGATCTCCTCTAGAGCAGTGATGTTTTGGGGCTGTCGCTGGGCAACACTTCATTATGACATTCTCCCAATCCTCTTCTGGATCATCCAAATGCACTCTAGCAAACTTCAGACGGGCCTGGACATGTACTGGCTTAAGCAGGGGGACACGTCTGGCACTGCAGGATTTGAGTCCCTGGCGGCGTAGTGTGTTACTGATGGTAGGCTTTGTTACTTTGGTCCCAGCTCTCTGCAGGTCATTCACTAGGTCCCCCCGCGTGGTTCTGGGATTTTTGCTCATCGTTCTTGTGATCATTTTGACCCCACGGGGTGAGATCTTGCGTGGAACCCCAGATCGAGGGAGATTATCAGTGGTCTTGTATGTCTTCCATTTCCTAATAATTGCTCCCACAGTTGATTTCTTCAAACCAAGCTGCTTACCTATTGCAGATTCAGTCTTCCCAGCCTGGTGCAGGTCTACAATTTTGTTTCTGGTGTCCTTTGACAGCTCTTTGGTCTTGGACATAGTGGAGTTTGGAGTGTGACTGTTTGAGGTTGTGGACAGGTGTCTTTTATACTGATAACAAGTTCAAACAGGTGCCATTAATACAGGTACCGAGTGGAGGACAGAGGAGCCTCTTAAAGAAGAAGTTACAGGTCTGTGACACCCAGAAATCTTGCTTGTTTGTAGGTGACCAAATACTTATTTTCCACCATAATTTGCAAATAAATTCATAAAAAATCCTACAAATTTTCTCAATTTGTCTGTCATAGTTGACGTGTACCTATGATGAAAATTACAGGCCTCTCTCATCTTTTTAAGTGGGAGAACTTGCACAATTGGTGGCTGACTAAATACTTTTTTTTAAACAAGTATTTGATACACTGCCGATTTTGCAGGTTTTCCTACTTACAAAGCATGTAGAGGTCTTTTGTGCAAGTCTACAATTTTATCCCTGATGTCCTTACACAGCTCTCTGGTCTTGGCCATTGTGGAGAGGTTGGAGTCTGTTTGATTGAGTGTGTGGACAGGTGTCTTTTATACAGGTAACGAGTTCAAACAGGTGCAGTTAATACAGGTAATGAGTGGAGAACAGGAGGGCTTCTTAAAGAAAAACTAACAGTTCTGTGAGAGCCGGAATTCTTACTGGTTGGTAGGTGATCAAATACTTATGGCATGCAATAAAATGCAAATTAATTACTTAAAAATCATACAATGTGATTTTCTGGATTTTTGTTTTAGATTCCGTCTCTCACAGTTGAAGTGTACCTATGATAAAAATTACAGACCTCTACATGCTTTGTAAGTAGGAAAACCTGCAAAATCGGCAGTGTATCAAATACTTGTTCTCCCCACTGTATATATATATTTTCAAGCAAAGTATAAGGGAGTTGTACTCCAGTATAGTAGGTGGCGGTAATGCAACATTTATTGGATGCCAACCGCCGTTAAACCTCATCGAAGAAGAAGACGTAGCCTCATAACCAGCGAGCTAACCACGTTTTTAGCTGGCAACAATGCTGTCACTGAACAATTTGCGGATTATTTGCACATCACAGGCTCTTCAGCATTCACCCAAATTATTGGCGAACAGACAATGCGTATCTAAGGCTTCGCTATGCAACAACTACCACCTTCACTAGCAGTAAGGGCACGAGGCACAACAACAACAAGATGAAACATGTCAATTCACTGCAAAGGACTTTCTGCACAGCTTCTGTGAAGCAGAACTGTTGGAACTGTGGACAGTCTGTTGAACAAACTCCAGCCTTCTAATGTTTATATTGTAACTTTGTCCAGCCTCCAAATGAGGGAGCATCCTTCTTCCAGATGATGGATTGGTGAGTGATCATATCGCATTTCTAACGCATAAACTATGTTTGTGCACACACACACACGCACACAACCTAGTCCATCCTGGTCTCATAGACTAGACGTAACATAGTAAATGTAAATCCGGGACACTCAAATTAGTATGATATGTTATGTTTGGTATAGTTACATAAGAGATATATATATATATATATATATACAGTGGGGGAAAAAAGTATTTAGTCAGCCACCAATTGTGCAAGTTCTCCCACTTAAAAAGATGAGAGAGGCCTGTAATTTTCATCATAGGTACAACTAGGAAAAAAAATCCAGAAAATCACATTGTAGGATTTTTAATGAATTTATTTGCAAATTATGGTGGAAAATAAGTATTTGGTCACCTACAAACAAGCAAGATTTCTGGCTCTCACAGACCTGTAACTTCTTCTTTAAGAGGCTCCTCTGTCCTCCACTCATTACCTGTATTAATGGCACCTTTTTGAACTTGTTATCAGTATAAAAGACACCTGTCCACAACCTCAAACAGTCACACTCCAAACTCCACTATGGCCAAGACCAAAGAACTGTCAAAGGACACCAGAAACAAAATTGTAGACCTGCATCAGGCTGGGAAGACTGAATCTGCAATAGGTAAGCAGCTTGGTTTGAAGAAATCAACTGTGGGAGCAATTATTAGGAAATGGAAGACATACAAGACCACTGATAATCTCCCTCGATCTGGGGTTCCACGCAAGATCTCACCCCGTGGGGTCAAAATGATCACAAGAACGATGAGCAAAAATCCCAGAACCACGCGGGGGGACCTAGTGAATGACCTGCAGAGAGCTGGGACCAAAGTAACAAAGCCTACCATCAGTAACACACTACGCCGCCAGGGACTCAAATCCTGCAGTGCCAGACGTGTCCCCCTGCTTAAGCCAGTACATGTCCAGGCCCGTCTGAAGTTTGCTAGAGTGCATTTGGATGATCCAGAAGAGGATTGGGAGAATGTCATAATGAAGTGTTGCCCAGCGACAGCCCCAAAACATCACTGCTCTAGAGGAGATCTGCATGGAGGAATGGGCCAAAATACCAGCAACAGTGTGTGAAAACCTTGTGAAGACTTACAGAAAACGTTTGACCTGTGTCATTGCCAACAAAGGGTATATAACAAAGTATTGAGAAACTTTTGTTATTGACCAAATACTTATTTTCCACCATAATTTGCAAATAAATTCATTAAAAATCCTACAATGTGATTTTCAGGATTTTTTTCCCTCATTTTGTCTGTCATAGTTGACGTGTACCTATGATGAAAATTACAGGTCTCTCTCATCTTTTTAAGTGGGAGAACTTGCACAATTGGTGGCTGACTAAATACTTTTTTCCCCACTGTATATAATATACACAGTATCTCACAAAAGTGAGTACACCCCTCACATTTCTGTAAATACTTGAGTATATCTTTTCATGTGACAACACTGAAGAAATGACACTTTGCTACAATGTAAAGTAGTGAGTGTACAGCTTGTATAACAGTGTACATTTGCTGTCCCCTCAAAATAACTCAACACACAGCCATTAATGTCTAAACCGCTGGCAACAAAAGTGAGTACACCCCTAAGTGAAAATGTCCAAATTGTGCCCAATTAGCCATTTTCCCTCCCATGTGTCATGTGACTCGTTAGTGTTACGAGGTCTCAGGTGTGAATGGGGAGCAGGGGTGTTAAATTTGGTGTCATCGCTCTCACACTCCCTCATACTGGTCACTGGAAGTTCAACATGGCACCTCATGGCAAAGAACTCTCTGAGGATCTGAAAAAAAGAATTGTTGCTCTACATAAAGATGGCCTGGCCTATAAGAAGATTGCCAAGACCCTGAAACTGAGCTGCAGCACGGTGGCCAAGACCATACAGCGGTTTAACAGGACCGGTTCCACTCAGAACAGACCTCGCCATGGTCGACCAAAGAAGTTGAGTGCACGTGCTCAGCGTCATATCCAGGGGTTGTCTTTGGGAAATAGACGTATGAGTGCTGCCAGCATTGCTGCATAGGTTGAAGGGGTGGGGGGTCAGCCTGTCAGTGCTCAGACCATAAGCCGCACACTGCATCAAATTGGTCTACATGGCTGTCGTCCCAGAAGGAAGCCTCTTCTAAAGATGATTCACAAGAAAGCCCGCAAACAGTTTGCTGAAGACAAGCAGACTAAGGACATGGATTACTGGAACCATGTCCTGTGGTCTGATGAGACCAAGATAAACTTATTTGGTTCAGATGGTGTCAAGCGTGTGTGGCGGCAACCAGGTGAGGAGTACAAAGACAAGTGTGTCTTGCCTACAGTCAAGCATGGTGGTGGGCGTGTCATGGTCTGGGGCTGCATGAGTGCTGCCGGCACTGGGGAGCTACAGTTCATTGAGGGAACCATGAATGCCAACATGTACTGTGACATACTGAAGCAGAGCATGATCCCCTCCCTTCGGAGACTGGGCCGCAGGGCAGTATTCCAACATGATAACGACCCAAAACACACATCCAAGACGACCACTGCCTTGCTAAAGAAGCTGAGGGTAAAGCTGATGGACTGGCCAAGCATGTCTCCAGACCTAAACCCTATTGAGCATCTTTGTGGCATCCTCAAATGGAAGGTGGAGGAGTGCAAGGTCTCTAACATCCAACAGCTCCGTGATGTCGTCATGGAGGAGTGGAAGAGGACTCCAGTGGCAACCTATGAAGCTCTGGTGAACTCCATGCCCAAGAGGGTTAAGGCAGTGCTGGAAAATTATGGTGGCCACACAAAACATTGACAGTTTGGGTCCAATTTGGACATTTTCACTTAGGGGTGTACTCACTTTTGTTGCCAGCGGTTTAGACATTAATGGCTGTGTGTTGAGTTATTTTGAGGGGACAGCAAATTTACACTGTTATACAAGCTGTACACTCACTACTTTACATTGTTGCGCAGAGTGTCATTTCTTCAGTGTTGTCACGTGAAAAGATATACTCAAATATATAAAAAAATGTGAGGGGTGTACTCACTTTTGTGAGATACTGTGTGTGTGTGTATGTGTGTATATATATATATATATATATATATATATATATATATATATATATATATATATATATATATAGTGCCCTGCAAAAGTATTAATTCCCCATGGCATTTTTCCTATTTTGTTGCATTACATCCTGTAATTTAAATGGATTTTTATTTGGATTTCATGTAATGGACATACACAAAATAGTCCAAATTGGTGAAGTGAAATGAAAAAAAGAACTTGTTTCAAAAAATTCGAAAAAATAAATAACGGAAAAGTGGTGCGTGCATATGTATTCACCTCCTTTGCTATGAAGCTCTTAAATAAGATCTGGTGCAACCAATTACCTTCAGAAGTCACATAATTAGTTAGATTGCACACAGGTGGACTTTATTTAAGTGTCACATAATCTCAGTATATATACACCTGTTCTGAAAGGACCCAGAGTCTGCAACACCACTAAGCAAGGGGCACCATGAAGACCAAGGAGCTCTCCAAACAGGTCAGGGACAAAGTTATGGAGAAGTAACCAGGTGGCGAATCGCATCTCTGCATGTCTGGCAGACATATCAGTGTGGATGACGGATCACCACCTCAAGCTGAACCTCGGCAAGACGGAGCTGCTCTTCCTCCCGCGGAAGGACTGCCCGTTCCATGATCTCACAATCACGGTTGACAACTCCGTTGTGTCCTCCTCCCAGAGTGCAAAGAGCCTTGGCGTGACCCTGGACAACACCCTGTTGTTCTCCGCTAACATCAAGGCGGTGACCCGATCCTGTAGGTTCATGCTCTACTTACGCAGGAAGCGGCACAGGTCCTAATCCAGGCACTTGTCATATCCCGTCTGGATTACTGCAACTCGCTGTTGGCTGGGCTCCCTGCATGTGCCATTAAACCCCTACAACTCATCTAGAACGCCGCAGCCCGTCTGGTGTTCAACCTTCCCAAGTTCTCTCACGTCACCCCGCTCCTCCGCACACTCCACTGGCTTCCAGTTGAAGCTCGCATCTGCTACAAGACCATGGTGCTTGCCTACGGAGCTGTGAGGGGAACGGCACCTCCGTACCTTCAGGCTCTGATCAGTCCCTACACCCAAACGAGGGCATTGCGTTCATCCACCTCTGGCCTGCTGGCCCCACTACCTCTGCGGAAGCACAGTTCCCGCTCAGCCCAGTCAAAACTGTTCGCTGCTCTGGCACCCCAATGGTGGAACAAGCTCCCTCACGACTCCAGGACAGCGGAGTCACTCACCACCTTCCGGAGACACTTGAAACCCCACCTCTTTAAGGAATACCTGGGATAGGATAAAGTAAACCTTCTACCCCCGCCTTACCCCACCCCCCCAATTAAAAAAAAATAATCATAAGGTGAATGCACCAATTTGTAAGTCGCTCTGGATAAGAGCGTCTGCTAAATGACAAAAATGTATAAAATGTAAATGTAAGTACAGATCAGGGTTGGGTTTTAAAAAAATATCCGAAACTTTGAACATCCCCCGGAGCACCATTAAATCCATTTTTTTTTTTTATTGAAAGAATATGGCACCACAACATACCTGCCAAGAGAGGGCCACCCACCAAAACTCACGGACCAGGCAAGGAGGGCATTAATCAGAGAGGCAACAAAGAGACCAAAGATAACCCTGAAGGAGCTCCACAGCGGAGGTTGGAGTATCTGTCCATAGGATGAGACTAAAATTGAGCTTTTTGGCCATCAAGGAATTTTTTTTATTTTTTTTTTATTTCACCTTTATTTAACCAGGTAAGCCAGTTGAGAACAGGTTCTCATTTACAACTGCGACCTGGCCAAGATAAAGCATAGTAGTGCAATAAAACAACAACACAGAGTTACATATGGGGTAAAAAACATAAAGTCAGAAATACAACAGAAAATATATATACAGTGTGTGCAAATGTAGCAAGTTATGGAGGTAAGGCAATAAATAGGCTATAGTGCAGAATAATTACAATAGTATTAACACTGGAATGCTAGATGTGCAAGAGATTATGTGCAAATAGAGATACTGGGGTGCAAATGAGCAAAATAAATAACAATATAGGGATGAGGTAGTTGGGTGGGCTAATTTCAGATGGGCTGTGTACAGGTGCAGTGATCGGTAAGGTGCTCTGACAACTGATGCTTAAAGTTATTGAGGGAGATAAGAGTCTCCAGCTTCAGAGATTTTTGCAATTTGTTCCAGTCATTGGCAGCAGAGAACTGGAAGGAATGGCGGCCAAAGGAGGTGTTGGCTTTGGGAATGACCAGTGAGATATACCTGCTGGAGCGCAGACTACGGGTGGGTGCTGCTATGGTGACCAATGAGCTAAGATAAGGCGGGGATTTGCCTAGCAGTGATTTATAGATGGCCTGGAGCCAGTGGGTTTGACGACGAACATGTAGTGAGGACCAGCCAACAAGAGCGTACAGGTCACAGTGGTGGGTAGTGTATGGGGCTTTGGAGACAAAACGGATGGCACTGTGATAGACTACATCCAATTTGCTGAGTAGAGTGTTGGAGGCTATTTTGTAAATTACATCGCCGAAGTCAAGGATCGGTAGGATAGTCAGTTTTACGAGGGCATGTTTGGCAGCATGAGTGAAGGAGGCTTTGTTGCGAAATAGGAAGCCGATTCTAGATTTAACTTTGGATTGGAGATTCTTTATGTGAGTCTGGAAGTTGAGTTTACAGTCTAACCAGACACCTAGGTATTTGTAGTTGTCCACATACTCTAGGTCAGACCCGTCGAGAGTGGTGATTCTAGTCGGGTGGGCGGGTGCCAGCAGCGTTCGATTGAAAAGCATGCATTTAGTTTTACTAGTGTTTAAGAGCAGTTGGAGGCTACTGAAGGATTGTTGTATGGCATTGAAGCTCGTTTGGAGGTTTGTTAACACAGTGTCCAATGAAGGGCCAGATGTATACAAAATGGTGTCGTCTGCGTAGAGGTGGATCTGAGAGTCACCAGCAGCAAGAGCGACATCATTGATATACACGGAGAAAAGTGTCGGCCCAAGAATTGAACCCTGTGGCACCCCCATAGAGACTGCCATAGGTCCAGACAACAGGCCCTCCGATTTGACACACTGAACTCTATCTGAGAAGTAGTTGGTGAACCAGGCGAGGCAGTCATTTGAGAAACCAAGGCTATTTAGTCTGCCAATAAGAATGCGGTGGTTGACAGAGTCGAAAGCCTTGGCCAGGTCGATGAAGACGGCTGCACAGTACTGTCTATTATCAATCGCGGTTATAATATCGTTTAGGACCTTGAGCGTGGCTGAAGTGCACCCGTGACCAGCTCGGAAACCGGATTGCATAGCGGAGAAGGTACGGTGGTATTCGAAATGGTCAATTATCTGTTTGTTAACTTGGCTTTCGAATACTTTCGAAAGGCAGGGCAGGATGGATATAGGTCTGTAGCAATTTGGATCTAGAGTGTCACCCCCTTTGAAGAGGGGGATGACCGCGGCAGCTTTCCAATCTCTGGGGATCTCAGACGTTATGAAAGAGAGGAAAACGCTCTGTCTGGCGCAAACCCAAAACCTCTCATCACCCCGAGAACACCATCCCCACAGTGAAGCATGGTGGTGGCAGCATCATGCTGTGGGGATGTTTTTCATCGGCAGGGATTGGGAAACTGGTCAGAATTGAAGGAATGATGGATGGCGCTAAATACAGCTAAATTCTTGAGGGGAAACCTGTTTCACACTTCCAGAGATTTGAGACTGGGACGGAGGTTCACCTTCCAGCAGGACAATGACCCTAAGTATACTGCTAAAGCAACACTTGAGTGGTTTAAGGGGAAACATTTAAATGTCTTGGAATGGCCTAGTCAAAGCCCAGACCTCAATCCAATTGAGAATCTGTGGTATGGGGGTGAATAGTTATGCACGCTCAAGTTTCAGTTTTTTGTCTTATTTCTTGTTTGTTTCAAAATAAAAAATATTTTGCATTTTCGAAGAGGTAGGCATGTTGTGTAAATCAAATGATAGAAACCCCCAAATAATCAATTTTAATTCCAGGTTGTAAGGCAACAAAATAGGAAAAATGCCAAGGGGGGTGAATACTTTCGCAAGCCACTGTATGTGTGGGTATATATATATGGCTGTATGTATGTATGTATGTATGTATGTATGTATGTGTGTGTGTGTGTGTGTGTGTGTATATATATATATATATATATATATATATATATATATATATATACTGCTCAAAAAAATAAAGGGAACACTAAAATAACACATCCTAGATCTGAATTAATTAAATAATCTTATTAAATACTTTTTTTTTTACATAGTTGAATGTGCTGACAACAAAATCACACAAAAATTATCAATGGAAATCTAATTTATCAACCATGTAGGTCTGGATTTGGAGTCACCCTCAAAATTTAAGTGGAAAACCACACTACAGGCTGATCCAACTTTGATGTAGTGTCCTTAAAACAAGTCAAAATGAGGCTCAGTAGTGTGTGTGGCCTCCGTGCCTGTATGACCTCCCTACAACGCCTGGGCATGCTCCTGATGAGGTGGCGGATGGTCTCCTGAGGGATCTCCTCCCAGACCTGGACTAAAGCATCCGCCAACTCCTGGACAGTCTGTGGTGCAACGTGGCGTTGGTGGATGGAGCGAGACATGATGTCCCAGATGTGCTCAATTGGATTCAGGTCTGGGGAACGGGCGGGCCAGTCCATAGCATCAATGCCTTCCTCTTGCAGGAACTGCTGACACACTCCAGCCACATGAGGTCTAGCATTGTCTTGCATTAGGAGGAACCCAGGGCCAACCGCACCAGCATATGGTCTCACAAGGGGTCTGAGGATCTCATCTCGGTACCTAATGGCAGTCAGGCTACCTCTGGCGAGCACATGGAGGGCTGTGCGGCCCCCCAAAGAAATGCCACCCCATACCATGACTGACCCACCGCCAGCCAAACCGGTCATGCTGGAGGATGTTGCAGGCAGCAGAACTTTTCCCACGGCGTCTCCAGACTCTGTCACATGTGCTCAGTGTGAACCTGCTTTCATCTGTGAAGAGCACAGGGCGCCAGTGGCGAATTTGCCAATCTTGGTGTTCTCTGGCAAATGCCAAACGTCCTGCACGGTGTTGGGCTGTAAGCACAACCCCCACCTGTGGACGTCGGGCCCTCATACCACCCTCATGGAGTCTGTTTCTGACCGTTTGAGCAGACACATGCACATTTGTGGCCTGCTGGAGGTCATTTTGCAGGGCTCTGGCAGTGCTCCTCCTGCTCCTCCTTGCACAAAGGCGGAGGTAGCAGTCCTGCTGCTGGGTTGTTGCCCTCCTACGGCCTCCTCCACGTCTCCTGATGTACTGGCCTGTCTCCTGGTAGCGCCTCCATGCTCTGGACACTGACAGACACAGCAAACCTTCTTGCCACAGCTCGCATTGATGTGCCATCCTGGATGAGCTGCACTACCTGAGCCACTTGTGTGGGTTGTAGACTCCGTCTCATGCTACCACTAGAGTGAAAGCACCGCCAGCATTCAAAAGTGACCAAAACATCAGCCAGGAAGCATAGGAACTGAGAAGTGGTCTGTGGTCACCACCTGCAAAACCAGTCCTTTATTGGGGGGGTCTTGCTAATTGCCTATAATTTCCACCTGTTGTCTATTCCATTTGCACAACAGCATGTGAAATGTATTGTCAATCAGTGTTGCTTCCTAAGTGGACAGTTTGATTTCACAGAAGTGTGATTGACTTGGAGTTACATTGTGTTGTTTTAAGTGTTCCCTTAATTTTTTTGAGCAGTATGTATATGTGTGTACACTATATATACAAAAGTATGTGGACACACCTTCAAATTAGTGGATTCGGCTATTTCAGCTTATTCCACAACTTGGCACTGTGCTTACGCATGCTCATGGCTGTGCATAAATGTACTCAAACGTTCATATGCGCACTTTGCGTTGAAATCACACGCATGGCTTACACACACGTTTGTGCCTACGCACGGTTGATAAATGAGGCCCCTGGGCTCTCCAACCCTGTTCCCGGAGAGCTACCGGCCTGTAGATTTTCGCTCCAACCCCCCTAATCTAGCGCACATGATTCTAATGATTAGTTGAGTCAGGTTAGTTACAACTGGGGTTGGACCGAAAACCTGCAGGACGGTAGCTCTCCAGGAACAGGGTTGGAGAGCCCTAAAATAGACCCATTTTGAATTAATGTTAGCACCATTTCACTTAAGTCCCTTTTCTAAAACCAATTAAATCAATCAAATAGTATTTATGTAGCTTAACCATTTTTTAAAATTTGTCACAAAGTATTTTACATTTACCCAGCCTTGACCCCCCACATAGCAATCAGCAGCACAAAGCCCCCATCAGTCCGTCTAGACTTTTAATTGGTTGTTTTTGTAGCATCCCAGACAGTTGGTGGAATGTTGTGTTCCCTTCAATGTCAGAAAATGAACAGTTTAAATCTGTCTTTTTATGTGACTTCCTGCTATCTGTGACAACCGGTGGAATGTTGTCTTCCCTTCCAGGTTGAATCAGTCTTTGTAAGTGACTTCCTGCTTCTATTTCAGCTGGAGCTAAAGGGCATGTACATAGAGGAGGGGATGGATACTGGGGCCAATCCTATGTTTCTTATGGAGATCAACGAAGCACTGGATGAGGAACAGAGCAAAGAAGAATTGGACAAGATAGGTGCCTCTATGAAAGGTGTGGGTTCAAAAAGTCATTTTACTCAGCCTACTTATTTTTCTTCATGAATATGTTGATTTGAATCGGCAGGAAGTGAGTTCAACAAAATTGATCAGTGTATTGTTTATTTTTCCAGTAATGGCTTTGATATGCTCACGGATGTGATTTTTGGAAATTGTACCATATTGCACTTCAATGCAAAATGTATTTAAACTTTTTTTCCCCCTTTTACTTGCAGATAAATTGAAAGACTTGACTGAACAAATAGATGCATCGCTGCACAAAGGTATGTTGCCCTCAGATACTAAAGTGTTATGTTTCTCTCCCTTCTACTCACTGTTCAGTCTTCTGGTATTTATTCAGATGCTTTCAGATGTGCTTGTGAGTCACATGGTTGAACTTTCTTTTGCTTTTGCTCCATATACAGTATTTTTCCTTTTCAACAGGAGAGTTTCAAGCTGCCAAAGCACTTTTCGCCCAAATGAAATACTTTGCGAACATTGAAGACAAGGTGAAGGAAAGACTTTCTGTGCTAATGTAAACTTTGACTTTCTTTTGATGCTTCCTGGGTATTTTTAAAGTTGTTTAGAATGTCTTCAATAATAATAATAATACCATTTGTATTTATTCATTATGTACAGTATTTGTTAAAGTTTCAGGTATACTAATAAATGTCAACTATTAATAGGTTACACATTGCCATAATTTGTGTGATGGATCAATTCAAAAGTCAATTATGGAGTATGTTTAAAAATATACATACAGTGCTATGAAAAAGTATTTGCCCCCTTTCTAATTTTCTCTACTTTTGCATATTTGTGATACTGAATGTTATCAGATCTTCAACCAAAACCTAATATTAGATAAAGGGAACATAAGTGAACAAATAACACAACAATTACATATTTATTTCAAAGTTATGCAACACCCAATTCCCCTGTGTGAAAAAGTAATTGCCCCCTTACACTCAATAACTGGTTGTGCCACCTTTAGCTGCAATGACTCCAACCAAATGCTTCCTGTAGTTGTTGATCAGTCTCTCACGTCGCTGTGGAGGAATTTTGGCCCACTCTTCCATGCAGAACTCCTTTAACTCAGTGACGTGTGGGTTTTCAAGCATGAACTGCTCGTTTCAAGTCCTGCCACAACATCTCAATTGGGATTAGGTCTGGACTTTGACTAGGCCATTCCAAAACTTCAAATGTTTTGCTTTTTAGCAATTTTCATGTAGACTTGATTGTGTGTTTTGGATCATTGTCTTGCTGCATGACCCAGCTGCGCTTCAGCTTCAGCTCACAGACGGATGGTCTGACATTCTCCTGTAGAATTCTCTGATACAGAGCAGAATTCATGGTTCCTTCTAAGGCAAGTCGTCCAGGTCCTGAGGCAGCAAAGTATCCCCAAACGATCACACCACCACCACCATGCTTGACCTTTGGTATGATGTTCTTACTGTGGAATGCAGAGTTTGGTTTTCGCCAGGCATTACTGGAACCATGTCGTCCAAAAAGTTATACTTTTGAATCATTTGTGAGTGGGCCAAAATTCCTCCACAGCGACGTGAGAGACTGATCAACAACTACAGGAAGCATTTGGTTGGAGTCATTGCAGCTAAAGGTGGCACAACCAGTTATTGAGTGTAAGGGGGCAATTACTTTTTCACACAGGGGAATTGGGTGTTGCATAACTTTGTTCATGAAATGGGGTTGAGACAGGGTGAGCAGGTCCGGAGGGGAATCCAAGGGAGTAGTAGAGTGGGGAATCAAGGACAGAGTAGCAGGATGACGAGACGTGGGACTGGAGACAGGGACCAGAGTCAGAGCGGGCAGAACTGTAGCGGAGAGGAAAACAGGTGTCAGGCAAGGAAAACAGGCACAACAGGATCTGAATAGTAACACACGGCTAGAACCGTAGACTGACTGAGCAGAGATTACGATCTGGCAGTGTGGAAGTGGCAGGACTGAGTATTTGTAGAGGTCTTGATTATGGAACAGCTTGCAGCTGGTGGGGATCTGCTCTGACTCCAGCACACCTGTCTCCGCCCACACAATCACACACACACACAGAGAGAGAGAGAGGGAGAGGGAGAGAGTACTGGGGGAGTGGCGGCAGGTCAAGGAGACACAGGATGAGCAGTAGAGGGCGGATGTGACAACTATGACAAACACATGTAATTGATTGTCAGTGATTTAAATGCTGCACAGTCACAAAGTTGACATATGATTAACTTGCCTATCAGTATAACATTTGTTATTACGGCCTGTTGTTGATTCTCCCCTTGTAACCTGGGAGACATACTTCCTTGAAAATACTGCCTGAACCAAAAAATTACCCTTCACAGAATTAGAAAGAAGATTGTGCATTATTTATGTATGCCACATACATGTTCCATTAATATTATGTTAATCAGACAAATAAAGATTAGCTGCATGTTCAGAAGCCCTCAGATCTCTGTGTAATTGTTAGTTCATGAAGAACTGCAAGTTGTGCTGGTCACGCCATCGCTTAGGGACCACTCCCAGACACTTGTTTTGTATTTGTTGTTTCTTCATCTGCAGTGGATTGAAGTGTGGAAAATCAAGCTTAAATTTGTTCCTTTTGTTTATTCATGCTTTTATGGAACTCAACGTGAATACAGATCTTGTTATGTGATTTGTCAGACTACAGTGAGGGAAAAAAGTATTTGATCCCCTGCTGATTTTGTACGTTTGCCCACTGACAAAGACATGATCAGTCTATCATTTTAATGGTAGGTTTATTTGAACAGTGAGAGACAGAATAACAACAACAAAATCCAGAAAAACGTATGTCAAAAATGTTATGAATTGATTTGCATTTTAATGAGGGAAATGAGTATTTGACCCCTCTGCAAAACATGACGTAGTGGCAAAACCGTTGTTGGCAATCACAGAGGTCAGACGTTTCTTGTAGTTGGCCACCAGGTTTGCACACATCTCAGGAGGGATTTTGTCCCACTCCTCTTTGCAGATCTTCTTCAAGTCATTAAGGTTTCGAGCCTGATGTTTGGCAACTCGAACCTTCAGCTCCCTCCACACATTTGCTATGGGATTAAGGTCTGGAGACTGGCTAGGCCACTCCAGGACCTTAATGAGCTTCTTCTTGAGCCACTCCTTTGTTGCCTTGGACGTGTGTTTTGGGTCATTGTCATGCTGGAATACCCATCCACAACCCATGTTCAATGCCCTAGCTGAGGGAAGGAGGTTCTCACCCAAGATTTGACGGTACATGGCCCCGTCCATCGTCCCTTTGATGCGGTGAAGTTGTCCTGTCCCCTTAGCAGAAAAACACCCCCAAAGCATAATGTTTCCACCTCCGTGTTTGACGGTGGGGATGGTGTTCTTGGGGTCATAGGCAGCATTCCTCCTCCTCCAAACATTGCGAGTTGAGTTGATGCCAAAGAGCTCGATTTTGGTCTCATCTGACCACAACACTTTCACCCAGTTCTCCTCTGAATCATTCAGATGTTCATTGGCAAACTTCAGACGGGCCTGTATGTGCTTTCTTGAGCAGGGGGACCTTGCAGGCGCTGCACGGCGTAGTGTGTTACCAATTGTTTTCTTGATGACTATGGTCCCAGCTGCCTTGAGATCATTGACAAGATCCTCCCGTGTAGTTCTGGGCTGATTCCTCACCGTTCTCGTGATCATTGCAACTCCACGAGGTGAGATCTTGCATGGAGCCCCAGGCCGAGGGAGATTGACAGTGCTTTTGTGTTTCTTCCATTTGCGAATAATCGCACCAACTGTTGTCACCTTCTCACCAAGCTGCTTGGCGATGGTCTTGTAGACCTTTCCAGCCTTGTGTAGGTCTACAATCTTGTCCCTGACATCCTTGGAGAGCTCTTTGGTCTTGGCCATGGTGTAGAGTTTGGAATCTGATTGATTGATTGCTTCTGTGGACAGGTGTCTTTTATACAGGTAACAAGATGAGATTAGGAGCACTCCCTTTAAGAGTGTGCTCCTAATCTCAGCTTGTTACCTGTATAAAAGACACCTGGGAGCCAGAAATCTTTCTGATTGAGAGGGGGTCAAATACCTATTTCCCTCATTAAAATGCAAATCAATTTATAACATTTTTGACATGTGTTTTTCTGGATTTATTTTATTTTATTCTGTCTCTCACTGTTAAAATAAACCTACCATTAAAATTATAGACTGATAATTTCTTTGTCAGTGGGCAAACGTACAAAATCAGCAGGGGATCAAATACTTTTTTCCCTCACTGTAAATGGAAAATGGACTAGTTTAAGAATGGCACACAGAGGCACTCAAGCAACTATTAGATCCAGAACCATAAAGATATAGCGACCAATTAATTTGTGAATGTTATGACATTCAACACACAATTTGAAACTGCTATTAGGGAACACAGCTTGTTTTTTCAAATCTATGTCAAACCGAAACAGCATGTAAAACGCCACAGGACTATTCTTAGGGGCCCTGACATCCTTCTCTACAGTTACAGGACTTGACTGGTTGTTTATTAAGCCTGGAACAAAAAAGTAATGTGTTCCAGTTGCCACTGTGGAGAAGCAGTTTCCCTAATACAGTTGGATAGACTGTGAATTAAACAGTAGGGCTTAAGCCACTGGAGGGAGACTCACAGGCCTATTTATTTTTCATGCTGTAATCAGAAGGCATTTACGGCACCTCTAAATTGATGAGAAAATGTGATCGACCAACTCTCAGGCCACTGCTGTCTCCGAGGACTCTTTGAAATGTAATTTGAAAGAAGGGAGGGTGAAGCGAAATTGACTTGGATGGGAATGCGTGGTGGATTGAACTAGGTACATGTGGCTTTATATTAAGAAATGAAGGCTTAGCTAGTGGAAATGGAGCAAAAATATCCATTTTCCCCTGCTGCTTTATTGGAACCTGGACTTAAAGGGGAAAGGGAAAACATTTGGGCACTGTTTGCTTGTCTGTTTAATCTCTTTAGTCGGTTCCTTGGTTCTGCTGCTGGAAAGCTGAGGGTTATAGCTGAAAGTGATTTTTAAAAACGATGGTCCTTGTAAGTTTCTCACAAAAGTGACAGAAACCAAAGGTGAAACAGCCAATTATCAGCCTGGTCCCAAAAATCTAGATTCTGCCAGTGTGTCTCACTGTCTGATTTTGCAAATGGTGGCAGGACAAGTGTTAGAAATTAAGTAATTCAAATCTGGTATTGGAATAAGAATCAAGAGATCTTCAATCCAAGCTAAATTTATTATATGCAAAATGTATGTATGATAAGTATGAAGGTTCGTATATACGGGTCCGCTGAGATACCACGCAGGGCACTCAGAGAACTAAACCATTGTTTACAGGTACTTTCTCAAATACTCTGACAGAGAGTTCCCACCTCTTCTGTTGGCCAATCAGAGTAAAGGACTGAGTGTGGTTTAGACTTTACTCAGCCAATCCGTTGGCGCACGGGTTAGTCCCACCCCTTGGCGCTTCACCCCTTGGCGCTCCACCGTTCCCAGGCATAAGTTGCTATCATAATAACCTGTGGAGTCAGCACCCAAAAGACACC